CGAGACCGTTTACAGTCTAGCATCCCTCGATCTGGGCCTCATGGAAACGTCTTCCATCGTCGCTCGCGTACACCTAGCGAACAAAACGGCGTTATCGAGCAGAAGAGGAATACTCGTCGAGATAAAAGAATCACGGTGATCGCGAAGAAAAGCGGATAAATAGCGGGTAGGACGTTCGAAGTAGCGATCACCCGGATAGTAAATGGCGGTATACCATTCCGAATAAGGGTGAGAGGCAAGGGTGCTAGACGTGCGGAACTTGTGCAGAACTTTTCCCCACTTTCCTGGCGCGAAAGTGGGAGAAAAGTAGGGATTGACGGATGACGTGTCAGAAAAGTGTATATACATCTTGTACCTATTTAGCTTCCATTATGTTGCATATTTCGGAAATAATCCTATAACGATATTCGGATAATAATTCAGTAACCGATGAACAAATGAATGATATTCAAAGTGAGGTATATTATTTTACACTCTGAAATCTCTGAGATGGTTTTTGAATTTTTATAAAAATTGTAATATTGTTTTTGAGACTGCTATCGATGCATCTGAGGTGTTCCTCCAAGGGGTTGAGATGATGTCTTGTGGTTCTTATGGTGCTGCCTGTTGAAGGACGCAAAGAAGGATATATAATAAGATCATGTGCCTTGATTATTTTGCTTGTACACGCGTACAGGGTTTAGAGACATGTCATAAGTCGATGGTTCCGATCAGGAAGAGGATTGGAGTTAGCTACTGTTGAGATTTGAATCTTTTTGGAGATGTAATAGATGCATCGTGACATGTTTTGAATATCAATTGAAATTGACATCAATTTGAAGGTTTAAAGAACACGGACACCACTTATGAGTGCCAATCCTTAGGTCAAGTGACAAAATTGGCGGCTTTATGGTTTCCTCGGAGTGGACTGGTGGGGCTCCTCCCTATGAGGGTTGCTTTTCTAATCTTGTGGCTCCTACGATGCTGGCTATTGGTATACTGATGGCTGTCGTGCTATGATATGTAACAGGTAGAAGGACGCAAGGAGGGGATACATTTCGTCCAGGGCCTGCTAGTGGACTCGTCAGTAAGGCTTCCTACCAGGCCCAGCCTTAGACGGGGATACTTAGCTAGCATAGAAATTTGTATCTATGGAAATCAAAGATTCACCGAGGATTTACGAGAAACCTCGAACCTCCATTTACCATCTAGCAATGAAGATGTGAACATTGGTCGCTGCACATCTAAAATCAAAATTGCGAAAAAATCTATCTATATATATATTCGGAAGCTGTGTGGAACCTTAAAAATGACAGGAAGCTGATGCAGGAAGCTTAACCTAAACTGACCCAGTCCAAAATTTATGTCTTCCATACCAGTTATTTAAATAATAAAAATTCTTCATAATAGTTCCAAGAACCAGAACCTGAACCTACATCGTAACACTTTCTGTAGAAAAGTTCTGCAGGTTCTGCAGCCTGGGTAAGAAGACAGTGCGAGGGTGCTGCATCCTGTGTAGCAGCGGCTAGACTCCCATGAAATAGTTGCATTCCTCGCCGCAGAATAAATACCGCTCGTCCTGCAGCTTTTCTTCGTGTCCGTTTTTCTCTCGTTCACCCTTTATCTTCTTCTTCTTCCATCGCTCGTGTCCCTGTTATCCAGGCTCGTGGCCGCGAATGTCGTTTGTCTTACTATATCTTCAGACCCGTGCACACCATCGCTGCTCCTGTATCGCGCCATAGCTCCAACGAGATTAACCGTATACCTTCACGTTTACAAGGAAGCTGGATCCCCTGGCAGCAATTTACTTCGAGGCTCGTTGAACTTGTCGATTCGAACCGGCGTCGCGACAACAGGCCCACCCTTTCGTTTGTCCGCAGCGTCCTCTTTTTGCGCGGCAACAGGACCGATTAGGAGTGGCCCAAGACGATGGATTGGCTCCGCGATTTTGTTAAATGGACGCCGAGGCGACCTGTGCTGAACGATTGCGACACTTTTCATGGAGACACGATTTATCCCCGTGGATAACGACGATAATAATGATCAAACTGTACAATCTCGCTGGGAAGCTTGGTCTAGCGAGGATCCGGGATTATCTCGCGGGATGAAAAGGGGAAATTGAGTGGAGAGCAAATGGCGTACACGAGATAGCTGAGGTTTCTAATTTTCGGATGTAGTTGTACGATTCTTTTCCTCTTTCCGTGCTTTCTCTTTTCGTTTATTCATTTACAGTTAATTCTTAGGGCGAGTTACGAGCATTTAGGTTGATGGTGGGCATTGATGTAAAAGGAGTTGTAAAAATAGTTATAAATGGGCTTTTAGGTTCTAATTCTAAGTGGTAGTAAGAGAATTTTAAGTATATACAAATCTTTTGCCATTTTCTGTCATACTTTATGCACCCCATGCTACTAAAATAGGTGTGAATGTGCGTAGCGAGCAATGCTCACACTCTCACCGCTAGATGGAGAACAGGAGTTCGAGGTTTCTCGCAAGTACTCGGTGAGTACTCGATTCCTATAAATACAAATTCCTGCGCTATCTAGGTATCCTAAGAAAGCTTTACTGACGAGTCCAATAGCAGGTCCAGAACGAAAGCATCCCTTCCTTGCGTCCTTTTAGCTGGTACCTATCATAGCAAGACAGCCATTAGGATACTATACGGCAGCACTATATAGGAATTTCAAATAACCATAAGACCCCTATGGAATCCCAAAAATGTTTAAACGTTTAGGATACACTAAAATAAATTGCTACGAGAATTTAATCTAGCATTTTGAATCAACTTAGCAGCAACTTAAGGTCACTAATTTGTCTGTCATTTTTAAAAAATCATAATTCGTGGAACTACGTTAATAATTATCACGATGAACGTTTTAGACCGACCTATCGTGTTTCACGTCATAGTATCAGTCGTTTAATTCTACGTGGAACTGAAACAGGTAAAAGGAAACAACACAAAAGTTTCCCTGTCAAAGCTTTCAAACAGGATAAAGCGTTCTTAATTGAAGATGCACGAAATTAACTCGCGACAGTGAATTCATTTATCAAACAAATTAGCCTGGCGTCAGCGAATTTGCCAATCGGGTGAATATCCGGAAGGATGTTCCAGCTCGGGTACACCGGTAACCCGAGTGAACGATATGATGTTTCAAAGCCACCCCTATCGAAAAATTCGCCTGTCAATTGCTGAGTCGCGCGAGAAAATGCGGTGGCTATTCAAACGTGCGCCATACAAGACCCGACGAATCCGATCAATCCGATCGATATAAAGTGTATATCGAGTCACTCGAAACTGTACGACTGATCCTCTCACGGACATCAGTGGAATGACCGTTTGAATGGGAATATACTTCCCAAGTTCGATCCAGGAATATTGCAAAGTCCGAACGTTGCTTCCTTATCTACTTTGAACTTGCAATTCTCGCGCGTTCACTGACTATATAATTTCCACGTAGTAAAGCTCCGTTTATCACCTGTGATTCCAACTTGAATCTCTGAAATGTTGCTCCTCTTGAACTGTTATACGGACTAGCAGACGTAGGTTCTGAATTATTGAAAGAAAGGGATTAAAGTGGTAAGTGGAATAAATTAGAGACCTTGTTTGAGGAACAAATAAGTGATTATAACTGGAAGGATAGAACAGAGAATATGGAAGGTTCATGAGAATGATATGATTGAGAATGGTCGATGATGATAATTTTGGAGAGTCGGGGTCTAGTTGTATGAATTTGAACATGAGCTGCGTTCAGGAAATGTTTCTTCTTGAAGATTTCTTAGGATTTGTTGGATGATTTTTAAATTATCTATTGATGGATTGGAAATTTGCATTGGATAAGGGACGAAGGTGTATTTGATTACTAGGGTAGAGGTGTCTATAGCTTAACTTGGATAGGCATGAAGGGGAGATCGGTTGATTACATTCCTCCAAATGGGATTCCAATAACTGTATCATATTCATCTTAAAAATAATTTAAAATGAAACTGACATTAAATATACTCCTTTCTTAATAATAAAATAATTATTCTAAATTGGTATAAAATAGTATTGTGGATATCAAAATGGAATAAATATATTTATTAATAGCATAATAACATATGTATATATATATAATCATTATTTTATTACTAAATGAATAACAATTTATTATAATAATATATATATTCATAATAATATATTATAATATATGATATATATATTTTGAAATAATCAGTCTAATTTGTTGTTTATTTAATAATAAAATAACAATTTTGGATTGGTTTAAAATAATATAGATAATCAAATGGAATATATATAATAATTAATTTATAACCAATACTGTGAAATAATATTACGAAAAATGAACATGATGAGTAATATATAATATGTAAATGTATTATTTTAATCTTTTTCCAGGTTCTGCATATAATCAACGAAGTACTGGAACCAGTACGCTCGAATTCCGCGGAAATGCCGATCTACAGTCCAAACGCCTTTGAATTCCTGAACCAAAGCGAGAATCTCGATCTGGGTGTTCATCGTGTTCGGTAAGTAATAAGTTTTTTCATAAATAACCGTATACTTTCCTGCAAACCATAACGGAAGTCATTCAAATGAAAATTAACTTGAAAAATTTCTCGTAAAATATTTCCTCTCAAAACATTCGCCGAACGAAGCATAACATACTTAGAATTCTTCCATGAAATCCATTACATATACTGTTCTACGCAACTGGGCCAAGCGTTACGTTGAAAAAGAACGTTATCAATTTATTAAGAAAAATACAACGCTTCTATTTACATTCGTTTATAATCTACGAATTTTGATACAATTAAAGAATATTCAATTTTAAATCTTCATTCACGCGTATTTAAATCGCACACTTATTTAAATACGAATGTACAATTTTATTTATTCGGTATAAATATAAATTTAATTTATCTAATTTTCGTATTGGTGTTTAATTAAAAATCGCTTTGAATTAAAACAGTTACACTCTGTTTGCTGGAAAAGAAACGGGAACTCGTGACTTTAATGGATCGTTTTACACCGTTTGTTATTCGGTTTCCCTTATTACCCTTTTATCACTTATCGAGTACGGTTTCTTTCCCGCGAGTAAAGTACAGCCGCGAAGTCCGCTCACGTTTGCCGAAAGATGAAGATGGAACCAACTTTCGTAGTTGTTCCCTAAGTAACTTCGATGCTCACTTTGTCAAGTCTTTATCGATATTTAAAGGCTCGGTACCGTGGAGCTTGCCATCTGAGTAAGTAAAACTTGAGTGAATTAGCTTCACCCCTCCCGAAAGTTCTTTAAGCTTCGCTGCATTTCATTTACCGTTCGCGTTCAACAACGTTTCCGCTTGTTCTTGCAACGTAAAGCGTAGTGGCCAACTTTTTCCATATATACTTTCGCGAGAACTTTGTTAATAAATCACTCGGCAAGAATTCATCATCCCCTACGCGTGAATTTCCACGTTTTCATTTAACTCGCTTCAATTCCGTCTTCGAGTTTGGCGCGATAGGACATGGGGGTGTATGGTGTTCGATCACAGTAGATTCAAAAATCGCGTCGATTCTTTTGGTAATCGATTGATACGAATAATAACTAAATTTTGTAAATTAAAGCACGAATAATAAGTCAGTTTTATACGCATCGATTTGTAAAGAATTCCATTACTAATAGATAGATCTAGAACGAAAATTTGATCAGAAATAAAATAAATAAGAATAGTAATATAACAATTTATAATTTAGTAATGTAGTAATTTAATTTATTATAATATAGTAAAATAGTAATAATTAGTTTACAATGTGATCGTATCTGTTAAATTTCATAATTATAACTCGATCAACAAATAATCCAAAATTTTTGAAAATTGTGACGTATGAGATTTTCTCTTACAAGCACAGATATAAATTTTTATATTTGTTTTATTTATTATTTAATTAGAATTTTATATAAATTAAAGAAAACTATTTTCTCTCTTGCTTTTCTTTACGACATTTATACGTATCGACCGTTGAACGAGTAAATCTCATTTTGTACATAGAATTTGTTGCCCAGAGGAAATATAACGAAGAGAAAAAGAAATGGAATTGTGTTCAATTAACGAGCCGAACTTTCTTGCAGCATCTTCCGGCAGCGGATCGTGACGGAAAAGAAGGAGGAAGTCTTCAAGGCGGACGGACGTTACACCTTTCTTATCCCCGTTGAGGAGGGTTTCCAGGTAAGCTGCTTAGCAACCTTGCCATATCGATCATCCCGAAAGGACCTTAATATCCCCTGTTGCGAACCCCTGAAAGGATTCAGGCCGTGCCAACTCGTTCTGCTCGTCGCCGGAAGTGACAGATTCTGATCGATTACATATACGATGAGCCTGAAATCCACAGAGCTAATTCGATTATCATTGCAAAAATTTCTCTGTCACTATTGCCCGGAGTAGTCGTTTCCCGGTGACAGTTAGATACTAAGGATAAATTGAAATTGACAAATTCGAACGAATTTGTCTGCACAGATCCATTATCTCTTTCATTTTTGTCTTTCATGCACGCTAACATACTATCCACGTTGAATTCCTTCTTTACTTTTATAGACAGGATTCAAAGTTATAGAATTCTACACAATCTTCTCATCAAAAATTAATGAGGTTTTACAAATTTTGAACTTTATTGTTGGTAGCAATGTTTCGATTGGTATGATTGACGAGTGAATAAGAATTGACAACTGTGAAAGAGTGAGAAAGAGTGAGCATGAGTGTCGTTTGTTTCGTAGCATAAACGTGATGTGCAGTAAGAAAAAAGAAATTTAAAATAAAATCCATTAAGATCTATGTTCAAAATATAAACACATTGTTGACCGATGACGAGTTAACTCGTCATTGCACTTGCATTATCTATTTCAATTTATGAAACCCAGGGCGGTATAGAATATCGCGTGTGAAAGTGATTTTGAAGATTGGATTACAAAATAATAGCCGGTGACATGTCATGGTCTCTGTGTAAAATTGTCGATCAACAAAGTGTTAATATACATACGTAAACAAATAGAGCTATTCTTTACCTTTTTATGTTACACAATCATTTTTATATTTATATTAAATCCATATGCATCATACCTCCGCCAAGGGGGTTCAATCATTCATCGCCAAGGGGAATCCTAACCTCAAACATTTATAATATAAGAAAACCGCCGACAGATGGCGGCGGGCTTGTGCTCGCGATGGCTCTCGATCGTCATGAGACTATCGAGAGCGAGAAACATGGACAAAGGAAGCACTCCACACGTGTGGAATCGTGGAGCTCAGTTCGTAAAAGACCCTCGACAAAGTAAGAGATCGATGTGTGAAGAATAAACCTTCCAAGACAGGAAGCTTTCTTTAATTCTAACCCGAGGTCCTTTGCTCTCCCGAACCACAGCCTCTTCAATGAAATTACAAACTTCCTGATCAAAGGATTCTGCCAAAGAAAAATTCTGTCATCGAATTTCTCATCCTGCTCCACGAATTGACGCTTCGTAAGCTTCCCAAAACAAGAAAAGCTCCTAAAAATCTATACTTCTGAACCAATTTCTCGATAGAACTCGACTCACTATAATCCATTCTATCAAAAGATTCTCTACAATTTCTTCAAAACCACCAGTGACCATCAATGACCTCCTATGAGAAACACTTTGCACCATAAAGAGCAACGAACCGAATCGTGCAGAAAATCACTAGGTCTCATGTATCGACCAATTAAACGTCGACACAGAACGTTGTCCTTATCCGGCCAAAAATCAGCGAGAAAGGCATCAGACTGGAGTGTGAAGATCGCACGGGATCGGTGGCACTTTTGCTCGATTAAAGTCATAATAGAGCAAGCAGAGTTAATGGGAACTCGGAGGAGTTAGCCGACAACCAAACTCCGATACCATCGGCCATTCGCCAGCTCCGGTTTTTCGCAATCGCGCGATTAAAGTCGCGTGCGTTCGATCAGTATCCACGGGTCACGTAATCAAAGTTCAGGTGTGAAATCCAGACCAGCGGAACCGACTTTTCGTATAAACGTGGCTGATGGAACTCCCGGTAACGATAGGGTGGATGAATGGCGGCGTAACGTGGAAAAACTCGGGGCGGAGGCGTTCGATGCTGAAGGAAATGGAAGCCTGGGAGGTTAGGTTAGGGTTATTTTCGAAAGTTTCATCGAACGAGGCTGCGGTGCAGTCGACCTCGTGTCTCGATTTTTCCCGCGATCGTATATGCACCTCGTTTCCTTGTTTCGCGACTCTTTTACGACTTTTATGACTTCTTCTTCTCCTTCCTTCGCGATTCCTCGGGCTTTCGAGCTCCCTCGCGTGTTCAATGCGGTGAATAAAACGGGCAACTTTCTGTGACCGATGAATGTATCAAAGTTGCATAAGGTGACGTTGGGTGTGTTTGTAGAATTATGATCGTGGGCTCGATAGTGGATTTCCGGCCTTTACTTCCGGTTGGTATTTTGATGTGAGACGGGATTGGTTTAGACAGAGCGTCGCAGTTGAAATATTACCTACGAATGCGTTAAAGAGGGGTTGCTTGGTATTTCGCGAATGTAAGATATGTGCATACGGGATGAAGTGTCAGAGAGATATATTTTCGAAGGTATTGGAAATGTCAGAAAATGTTAATAGACAGAGTTGGGAAGATTTAGGAAGCTAATTTTGTTATTCGCGACGTATGCAGGTTATCCCTTTGCACTCGAGAGGCGCCCTTCAGTCACCGTTTGATAAAATTTCGAAGATCGATGTTCGTTGATATGTCAAATTTATGATAATGTATCGGTGTTCGAGGTGTCGAGATCAAATGAGCTGCACGAATCGATTAACTCCACCTTTTGAAAAATCAAATTTAAGTGTCAAAGCACTTGGTATAGTATTTCATTGCATTTCTGCACTTTTTGTTTTATGGAGTTAATCAATTTGTGCAGTGAACGGCTCAAATAATTATATGTGTTAATTATTATACGATTTAGTATAATAATATTATTTACTGCTCAAAAAAATATCGTCAGCTTTATAGCAGAAAATCTTTGAACTCCTACTCTTCTTTAGTGAAAAAATCGTTGAGTGCAAAGGGTTAAAAGATTTTTAAATTATTCCTTTTTTCGTGGAAAGTGAATATTTTTTAGTATGCATAAATATAGCATTAATTTTTATGCATCTTGTAATCGTAGTTGTTCGAAGAAAATGAAGTTGTTTTTGTGAAATTTAAATATTTTCTGTCTTGTCTAATATTATTTATATTTGTGGATATGCTCGGCAGTGAAGTTTTCCGGAAAATCGTGGCGTTGGGTGAAATTAAAATAAACAGATTCCAATCGACCCGATCAGCGCTCGAAAAATCAACAAATGCAGCAAAAAAATGGGATACACGTTCTCGGTGGCAAAGCGGAAATTACACATGGAAATTTCGGCCGCGCTTCCCCAGAAATTTCCCAGCCGCGTATACGGGATATCGGATACGTATTCGTAGCTTGATTGCACAATGTATATCCGCAGGCGGCGCTCGTGTGTACGCGCAGTGGGCCTGTACACAATCGAGGGGAGTGGGGATTGAACCGGGCGTCGAGGAGTGGGGATAGAGGCAAGCGTCGCGCAGTTGTGAATTCGCCCGAATACGACAAAATTCAAAACATTTTATTTTATGTCTCAAAAATCTATATAGTGTACCTTATTTAGAAATAGTTAGATGATTTTCTATTAAAATTAAGTCTCTTTAATTGACGATAATTGACAATAATTTTGTGATGAATTATCTGCTTCTAATGGTAGTGTTACTACCATGGTAATGGTGGTAAAGTTACAATGTTTGCTGAAGAAATAGAACCGTACATTTTATACATTCATTCTCCTTTTTTTTTTTTTTTTTT